TATATATATATATATATATATATATATATATATTATGCACCAGCCATCCGTAAATTCCACTTTCCCACTATACCCACTAATAGGATCATCACGAAGTAGCATATTTTGGTGATGGCAAGAAGTTTCCTAGATAATCTGAATGCTTCGATTTACATTTTTTTTTTACCCGAAATAAAGGGGGTGAGCGGTCGGAGTGAATCTGTTCCCCGACCGGCCACCACCAGAACCAGATCTTAAAAAGGGATTTTAATCCGAGAAACCAGTTTAAAGCGAAGCGAGTGTGCAGACTTATTTATAGGCACTTCGGTTGCTCACACCATCGATTCATATATTTTTATGTTTTATACATTGTGTGCGAGCACCTTCAAATTACAGAAAAAAACACGATTTAATCACCAGTTAAATGAAAGTGTCATATTAAGGTGTAGGTTTAACACCTTGATGCATGCTTAAATTGGGGCTTTGGACAATATTTACTTCCAGCGCTAATCCTAGCCTTATCTTCCCCGAAGACACGGCGCTGGTTAGTCATCGTCTGTTTTTCTTTTTCTTTTTTTTTTTTAATCCTTGAGAGCAGCAGCAGTGAATTAAGTGTCTGCCGCAGTGTGTTATGTTTAAATTGCAGGTACATGACAGACGACGATGTTTCATGACGCAAACTGTCAGCAGTTTTGCTGTGGAATTAATTTAAACGCAGAGCCATCTGACAAAGAAAAAAACATATAGGCTGTAGAAAAGTAGCATACAAAACACATGTTAAACAAGTAAATCATTAAATTAAGGTGAAGAGGGCGGTCCCACGTGGCAGATTTACCAGGAGCATTTCAAACATTATTCTGCTAAAACTGACAACAAGATTATAATCTTGACAAAACACAACAAATTGTTGCCCTAAGGCTGCTTCTTCCCCAAAGGCACTGCTAGTAAAACAGCTTGAATCTGAAATATGCAATTATTCACATTCCAAGTGGAGTTCCGAAAGCATTCAGAATTCCGATTAGGAAAATCGACGCCCATCCAGTAATAATGGCTCTGAATTTTTAAGGGTCAAACAAAGCCCTCAGATTATATTGCTGTTTAGGAAAGTGTACCAGGCCTGTCCCAAACCTCTGTGTGTTACGCAGTTGGGAAGCCAATTAGGTGTCCACTGAGTTGGGAAAAGGGGGGGTGTACTGGCATGAAGTAGACAGGCCTCAAATATGGCGGCCTCCTGTGGGAGGGGCAGTCGATGCATTGGATGTGCGCCCCCTTGTGGTGATGTTGATTCTTTAGACCTGAGTCGGTGTATATCTGCCCCCACACACCTCCCCCCTCCCCCCCAACCCCCATAATATGAAGGCAGGAGGGGGATAGTATATTCCGGAAGGTCTCCAGCTGATAGCAGACATGTAAAGCAGTGAAAGGAAGAGGAATTCTGCTGTCAAAACTGCCTAATGGAACATGATCCAATATGTGTTTTCTGTACAGCCCTGCAAAGCTAGCTGACTCTGGTAAAATATAAGCCAATGGCTTTTCTGACAGACAGAGTCAGTGCGCAACTTGTCTTCTAGTTACCATGTCTAGCTAAGTAGCATTCTCTTACATTCAGCGTCTTACCTTCTCACCAAGTCAACAGGCAGTGAACACCTGTTAGATGCTAATTCTTATAATATGTCTATACTACTTATGTCCTACCTTTGGAATAATGTTTTGATTTACGTAATTGCGGTCAGTGATTACTCCACTCACACATTGAGGTACTAATAGGAATGAGGTGTCTTGATTCCTCTTTAAATCGGGGTAATAACCTGGGTAAATGTTAATTTATTCTGATGTATTTTTGCTCCCGGTAACTGATGCTGTTAAAGAGACTCCTGCAGGCCGTATTTTATGGGATGGTCTGATGAGAATGATGATTAAAATGGCATCGATCATGGTGCAGCAGATCATTTATACTGGGTAATGTTTTTATTTAAAAGTGAAGACAACCATTCAGTCTAAGAAGCTAGGCCTAATTTATGGAGGGTTGATAATCACGGACAGGGGCGTTGCTAGGCCTATTTTAGGGGGGGGATTGGCCCCCCAAATAAATGTGTGTTTATTGGCTTAAGTCATAAATAGTTTGCTAAGTAGTTTTGCTATTATCTAATATTTCAAGTTAAATATTATAGTTTTCCTAGGATTGCTAAGTAGTTTTGCTATTATCTAATATTTCAAGTTAAATATTATAGTTTTCCTAGGATTGCTAAGTAGTTTTGCTATTATCTAATATTTCAAGTTAAATATTATAGTTTTCCTAGGATTGATCTAGACTACCAGAAAACAGAAGTCACATACAGTTGTATTACTAAGAAGAAAATTCCAAATTTACTAACAGTTCACAAAATGAAGAGAAATATAAAATGAAGGTAATACCACGAATAAGTATTCCGATACCGTCGTCCTCAAATGCACCACACAGCAACAAAACCACCTAACGCCAGCTTTTGTATGTTTTCATAATTATACACTTCAAACCATCCTTTCAGAAACGCGACCAGCCTACATATGTGAGACAAACAACTTGATGACAATTAACAGATGGTTTAATTACCACCATGCTGGTTTTCTGTTTATTATTTGCAAGGCTCATATTGAGAGGTATTGGCAGAGTAATTTGGCAGCAAAATGATGGGATAAAACTGGCGTGGATTAAATGGTCAGAGTTCACCTTAGCAATAAATCAAGGTTTCCATGTTGTGTTTCGCAGTTAACAAAGACAAAATGTCAGTGTCTTATATACATTAATATATGAGTTTTTACCTGCATGTCCTAATAAAGTCATTGTAGATCCCCTACTTATAAATATATAAAATTGCATCATAAGATGTAGGCTAAGGTCGACACATTTCCACCGCCCTGTTTTGTGCTGTCGTGTTTGTGTGGGCATATAGCACGAGACCGTGACAGGAAGGGCGCTTGTGATCTGTGATACTTGGTGTTATTCCTGTAAGGGTGACGAGACCCCACAGCCTCTCTGGTGCCATCAGAACCAATGCACTGCAGCCTCCCAAAAAACCAAAGACGTGGCATCTCCGCAAAGGAGCCCTCTAGTGGCGGGGCAGCCAGCCACACTTGGTAGCTGAAAGTATAACTATATAATCATAATGCTCATTTAAACTGTATCTACTGCTTGAAATTCAGAATTCATGCTCAGATGCCTCTCTTTGCACAAAATAATTAACTTTCAAAGTTAACCAGTGTGATACTGATTCTCCAAAAAAAAACCAAAAAAAAAACCAAAAGGCTGTGCAGACTTTGAAATGGTTTGTTTCCCCACTTTTTGAGATTCAAATTACCCCAGAGGCATTAATCATCACCGAAAGTGCATTTGTCCTGAACCAAAGAGTTTTCTTGTCGCGCAGTTGATGTCACAGTGGCAGTCGAAAGGTACTTAGTGGGATACGGTAGGTAGGTGCAGCATGATGGCCTCCAAAGGACCAATGTATGATAGCCATCGAGGAGAATCAGTCATCACCTCCCGAGACCATACGGAAGGAACAGGTGCCTGCGACATATCCATTACTCTGTCGTTACTTGGTGCCGTACTGGGGGAATGTGGGGGACGGCTCGCGGAGTGACTCAGCGAGTCTCGTGACTGCGGTGCAGTCAGTGTGCACATCATCCAGACCCTGTTTTCCAGTGGGAATGCTATGGCTTTATATTAGTACTTTTGGATTTGCTTAAAATTTCACTGGACTGTACCATCTCGGGGCCACAGGGGTGTATTCTACAAATGAGGCACATTTTGATATAATATGATATGATATGAGAAAATTTGGCATGTTGTACTGTAGTCTGCATCGCGGCCTGAAAAGCGTCAGAGCTTAGCGACTTTCCGTAGGCACGGGAATCGAAATATACTCCTCGGCTGCTGAGAACATGTGGGATAATTCTGTATATATATTTTTTTTGCTGCCTTCTCAGAGAAACCAAACAAGGACCGAGATAAGGATATGACACGCTCACCTGTGATATTGTAGAGGGCAGACAGGGCCTCGCAGTATTTTTCTAGAAGGTCAAGTAGGGATAGCTCACACTGGATTCTGGGCTGAAGAGGTAATGTGAGAAAATGCCTTATGTTCATTCATAAAAAAAAAAAGCAAACGAGAAATACACAAAGATACAGATAGATTTGCACTTACAGCTACAAACAATTCATTGCAAAAAGTAATGATGATTTAAGTGCATTTCAGGCAGCAGCCTAGCCACCCAACAAGTCAGGGACGCAGTGGTTAGGACCCCCCCAAGGGTCTGTATTTTGCAGCATGAACATCGCCCCGAGGACCATTCACAGCCAATAGGAGCACACGGTTTAAGCTTCCCGATGGGTGATTGGCCCGTGACAAATGAGTGAAGGGTCAGGTTTGCGGGTTGCAGTTCCTTTCCCAGGACACATGCTTTTTTTTCCCATCATTCCTATGGGATATCAAAGATCACTGGAGTCAGAAGCCCTAAAATGTATTTTTAGCTCAGCATCGGTTGCATCATCAGATATTGTAAAGTATTTGCAAGTCAGTATGCTAACTGCAAATCTGTTAGTGACCATTAGATTACATTAACAGCAGATATTTCTACTCTTGTGTGCATTTAAAAAAAAAACAAAAACATGAATATATCTTGCATTGCATCTTTTGCATCTTAAATAATCAGGGTAGTTAAATGTGTTTGGTAAAAAAGAAGAAAAGAAAAATGTATAAATCATATATACGTATATCTATATATAGATTTATAAATATGTTGCCAGAATTAAGGGTTGGAAGATGGATAGATGGATATGTCATAACAAGCTGTTATTCTATGTTTAGAGTTGATATGCTTTTCATTAAAGTAGGATGGTGATAATGAAAACTGGATTTAGGACGAGTGATACCAGAGTGGGCTGAAGAGGGTGAGGGACCCGTTTGCTCATCAGGTACCACTGCGCGCTTCCCGCGTAAATAAGCCAGCTGATGCTGAACCAAGCTGCCGGGGAGCCTTCGGGTGAATGAATTAAACATTCGTTTCCACATTCAATGGATTGTTTCCAAGGAAAATGCTTTCATGTGATGTGCAAAGTCATTCCAGCTATCAGCAAAGTTAACAAGATTAACTGATTATTTTGTATTGTCATTTCTAGTGAAGTCAATTCACTGCAAATTTGCAAAGCTTTGTCGTTTAACACTTGTTAACGATTCTGCTTGCAAAATTGCTGTAACTTCACGTCTCTAACCAGCACGATTTATTCTGTCAATAACAGACCTGTTTAATACTGTTTTACTGGGTGAATCATTAATCCAGTTGTCCTATGACACTTGGCTCAAAAATATTGTCTCAGGATGATTGTGATAAAGACAAAGATAGATTTGAATGTGCGTAATGACGTATACTCACACACGAAATAAGAAGACACAACAAAACTTGCTTTATGTTCATATTGATGACAAAAATCTTCTTATCTTCATCTTCCCCATAATCCTTTGTAAAAATATAGATAAATTCAGTTCAAAGTCCAGTTTTCATTTATAATGAGATGGGAAATAAAGACGAATTCCACTGGTTACTCCTCTCGAAGTTCTTAGAGTTTGTTTGATTTGGAAATATCACAAACTCAGATCAGATGTTTCTTCATTTTCGCTTAATTATGTGGCAAAGCAAGAGACAAAAACAGTCATTAAAATGTTCATGGATTACGTATGAAGTCCTCCGGCTGATTAAACAGGCAAATGGAGATGCAGAAATAGAGTTTATATAGAGCTGAACTTTGTCTTTCGATGTTTGTTTAAAAACAGGAAATGCACACCTGTGTTACCCTCGACACCAGAATGAAGATGTTTTCTCGCAGACATGCACCCTTCTGTAGGTCCACAGAGACAATGGGCCCATCACAGGCAGATCCTGAACTGAAGTGCCAAACCTCCCAAAAAATTAGATATATCTCCTACTTTCTCTACAAGAACGGTCAGCAGAGATCCAGTTCCAGGACAAATGACCAGCTGGGTTTGGTGATGCTGCCCTCACAGCTCTCACTATGAGGCCTTGGCTTCAGGGTGCTCCTTGCCTTCTGTTAGCGTGTGTGGAGCGACTGAGCATGATATAGAGGCACCGGGTTCTGTGAGACGAGGAGGTTCGCCAGCCTTGTAATATGATCCGTGGGCTGAGAGCTGTGTCGGTTCCCCGGGCCAGAAAGCAAAGGCACGCGGCTCTGAGGAGAGGTCATCCACTTCAGCCAATGTCGGGCCAGATCCTCTAACGCCGGCCAATGTTGGACTGGTGCCTCTCAGACCAGCCAATGTCAGACCAGGTCCTCTCAAATCCAGCCAATGTCAGGTCAGGTCCTCTCACACCTGCCGCTGTCGGGCCAGGTCCTCTCACACCGGCCAATAAGGGAGGTTGTGCCGTCCTGCCAGGGTCCAGTCTCACTTAGTTAGTAGTGATCCGCTTCTCTTCTGGCTTTTGGCAGCACAACTCTACACAATCCAGGCATGTTTGACGTTTTTCAACAGTAATATTCTCTTTTTCCTTTTTGCTCTATGTTAAAAAAAAAATTCCCTCTCGGCTCGTTTTAATTAACATTTTCGATTAAAATCACCCCAAAACTTTCTCCACACAGCTAATAAGAAGGATTTGGAAAAAAGTATATATATATAAAAATATTTCCTAATGTTCTGGTAAGTATGAGAGGAAGTGAGGAGAAGCAGAATTCTTTGCGGTTTGGGAGAGGCACACCTGCTCGATAATGCGAACGGGGAATCATGTGGCTGCAAGCCAATGCAAACGGGGCAAAGAGGTTCCGTTACCGCGCTGCTAATCTTCAGGGCAGCGGCAAAGCCTGATGTCAGCCATGGCGAACACGCTGTGATCGCCGGGGGCCACATGTGGCGCTTCCAGCGCCTCAGGGACAGCAGCTATCAGGGCATTTTCACACAATACGGGTGTCTAGAGTTTACCGGGGACGGTATGACGGACGAAAGCATCCAGTCGGTGGCAGTTCTGGGTGGGAAAACACCTTGGTAATGAGAGGAGTCTGAGGAGAACAGCCAGACTCGTTAGAGCTAACAGGAAGAGCACAAGTGCAAGAATAACAGCTCAGTAACGAGGTACACAATAATAATGTGTCCACTGAGTGCATTTCAAGGAACATATAATTGTTTTTTTTTTTTAAGTTGTATTATGTAATGTAATAAATGCCATATTGGCATAAGACCCTAAATACGTATGTGTTTGTATTGGACGTTGAGTAGGAACAGAGAATGTCCATAGATGATTTGTTTTTTTTAATTCTTTCCACAAATCCAAGCCACGGACCACATGGCCAAACCGTATTGATTCCATTTGCCAGAAAGGCGTGACGGTAAATCGGTGTTTATCGCGGCGTGTCGTGTTTCAGAGTCCCTGTGCGTTTTGCCACGTCACTCAAGGGTTAAACGCTCGGGGAAAGCTCTGTGCTAAAGGGCAGCAGCTAGTGCCTGTGTTTTATTTTTTATTTTTTGGTGGGTGAGAGGTTTTTCCATTTGCAGTTACATAAGGAGCGGGAGCCCAACAGAGGGCTCACTGCACCCCGATATATCAGCTAGATCTATCACTAAAGCCGGATTTATGGCCGGGGAGGGGGGGGGTCCTTTGTGAGAAAAGGCCAGGTCGTTCGATGACAAGCCCCCGCACATTTCACACAGACCACAGCCCTGGGAGGTGCGGCTGAGAACAGAGTCTGGATTTAAATAGTTTGGCTGGACTCCCCCAGTCAGATCTGCTGGAGCGGAGCGTCAGGTCTGTGGGTTATTCTCCTGGTACGCTTCTACGTGCCGACAATATGATCCATCTGAACATTCATCGAGCAGATGCTTTTGTCCAAAGCAACATGCGTTTGAGAAAGCAGGGTCAACCAGTGTCTGGTGCAGTTGGTGGCTAAGGTCCCTGCTCAAGGGCCCAGCAGTGACATCACTCTGCCGGCAGTGACATCACTCTATCGGCAATGACATCACTCTACAGGAAATGACATCACTCTGCCAAGCCTGGAGTTTGAACTGGTGTCTTTCCGATTACGGGCATGGAGTCCAGTAGCCATTGAGCCACTAAGCTATGTACAGTTTTTCCAGCCAGTGCTCCAACTGGTAATACAGTGCACGATAAGGGCTTTAGCAGGGAGTGTCTATTCATATCCTGAGGATACCCAAATTATATCGGCGTATTCCTTACATTACCGTCCCGCGCCGCGATTATCGCATGTCACCCTCCATTTACAGCATGAGCTGCCTGCTTCCAAAATATGCGACAGCCAACCGATAGGTTTTCAGAGACGAGCCAGCCAGGCCTGCTACAGGAAGCTTGAATGACTCCAGGTCTGATGCGTAACCGGACGGTGTATCGATTGCCAGTGATTTCGCCGCCGGGCCCAGCAAACACGGCGAGAGCCACTTCACCAGAACACCAGATTAGCTTTCAGCGAATCGCTGTTCATGAAATTCTCCTCACACCCTTGACCTTATTTTACCTTTAACAAAAACTCAAACCCTAATCAAAACATGATAAAAAAAAAACACTCAAGCCATTAAGAAATTGATTTTCCTTCTTTTTAAGCAATAGCAAGAGTGTAATAAAACCTCTGAAAATATAACTCTATGAGAAATCTGTTTTTTTTTTTATTTATTATTACTGGCTTTGATTTTTAAAAATGTGAGGTAAATGGAAGAATTTCGCTAATGAAGCACCAAATATATATTTTTTGGAAAGTTGGAATGACTTTTTATTACTAAAAATCACTTTATAGCTGGACTGTTTCATTCCATCTGTGGGTGACCAACCCCATTGGGATCGCCGAGATCATCACTGCATCGTTAATTCGACCGTGCACGATACGTCTAATGATTCACGACACGGCAAGGGTCCTCCCTTGGGTATAACGTAAGGGTGGCATGATTCTGGAAATGTCCAGAGTATGTAAAATGACATAGATATATGGGGGGGGGGGGGGGGGCAGAGGTGAAACTTAAGATGGTATACTTAGGCAAGCATAAATAGGAGCACCATGACACTTAGGATGTCGTTACTCAGACTGATGGGACAACTGCTGCTGCAAAAAATGTCAACAATGTCAACAGAGGCAGCAAGCAACAGTCACCCTTTATATAGTGACACACAGGCAGGAGTAGCTAAGGAGTTAGATTCAAGGTAAGGGAGTTCAGGGTGTGGAAAGCTCTCTTCGCATCATTACAGGCGGTGACACATCGCGGCACCTTCGTCACACAGGAGGCAGGCAGCCATGTCCAGGCCTGATGCTGGAAGTGACTGACGTAAAATTTAACAGAACAGTTGTTCAAAAATCACATGGCAAGGCTGTATTTAGGCTTGGGCTGTATTTGAACCTTCATACCGTCTGTACTGTACATTATACTGCAGTTTATGGTGTTTCGACTATATGCTCAAAAGCAACACCATATACCTAAAATGATGCTGCATGTCATATTACCGTGGTACCGGCCAAGCCTAGCTGCGCCGTGACAGCAGTAAAACAGACAGCATATGAAAAAAACACATCTGCCCGTCTGTAACCGTGTGTCCTCCATTCATCAAACGGCTTCTGAGCACTTAGTAAGAAAAAGGGACCTGTATCACAAAATATATGAAATGGAAGCCGCGTTCAGTACGTGTGTGATGGTGGAAGTTTAGCACCAGCTGAAAATGAACTATTTGTAGAATACAGTGTGGCTGGTATTTTCTCTGATTACGAAAATATATCAGAATGCAGTATTGTGTATTCCTGCTCTTTAAACTATAACTATATGTGTGTGTGTGTCTGTGTGTGCGTGTGTCTGTGTGTTTTGAAATAAATGAGCTGGTCTTCTGTGAGGAAATGAAACAAAACCCTCACACACTTTTCCATCCATGTACATGTTTTTTTTTTATTTTTATTTTTTTACATTGCATCTGATAAAAGCATAAATCTTTGCTTTTCATAACCTCCAGCAGAAACGTGTAGCGAGAACTAATACAAATCCTAATTTCCGAATGCCGTGATTAAACTCTGCAGCCTAGGGTTGAATTTGGTCCTTAAGTGACTCACCGGGTTTCTACAACAACAGAGAACTTACTGTCTCTGACTAGATGAGCCACAGACCACAGATCATTTTCAGCCTTGAGTCTCTGCAAAGCTCTAATTGTTCGGGTTCCTGCTGGCATACTGATGTGTATATATATATTTTTTTGCCCATGCTATTAAGTTTGCCTCGAGCTGTTGGGACGACTGTGCTTCTAAATCCGCTCCTTTGGTCTCAGTTTGCAGGAACGTGGCCTCAGCTGCACATCAGATGGCTCTCGGACACGGACACGTTCACGTCGCCGCAGATGTGACGCCACATGCGCGTCTGACTACATGCAGACGAACGTGTGACGCATGTGTGCTGGGACGTGCACCATCAATTCCTCTAGAGGTGAGTTTTATCGAATCATCTCCTGCAAACATTTACATCACCAGACTGATGATTCACCAACAGCATTTGCTTCAAAAATAAATTAAAAACAGGAAATATTTCACCCCTGGGTGAGTGGACAGGAGGATCAAAGGTGGACTTTGGCATCCGATCAACCCTGTAGACCATTATTTCAGTCCTACTGCTGAGAACTGGGTCAAGACCAACATTAAACCTGACCTTCTGTTCGAAGCAAGGCCCCAAAACAACATTATTATACTTCAAAATCATGAAAAAAAATCCTAAATGTTTATGCGACATGCGCGTGGAAACACGGAACGCTGCAGCACTTTTCAGACACACAAAAGCTCCGGCAAAATGCGACATGCAGCTCAGCCGCACAGCGAAGAATCCATAACACTTCCTGTTTGCAGAGACCTGCCCAGCTCTGAAACCTAACACCAACTGGATAGAGAATGTCCAGGGCCCCCCCTACGGAGATGAGATATCTCCCTGGTTAAATCAGAATAAATGGTTTCATTCTACAGACGCATCACAGCAGACCCGTTTTATGTACGCTACAAATCACATTATTGGATACAAGTTTCTTTGGGAAAGAATCAGACAGCATTGGGATTTTTATGAAAAAA